CAGTTCATAATAGAGTGTACAGGGATCTGCTAAAAACACAGGGTAGAGTTTGTACTATACACCAGTCAGTTAAGGACTTAGTTTCTGGGGGATGGAAGGAGCCAGAGCGTAAGTTCCTATCTTTTAGGTTTTGGAAAACAAAGTTTCCCTTTAGCACAGAGGATGATGACAGATATTTCAATTGTCCAAAATTAGATGCCCATTAGCTCAGGTTTCAAAGAATCTTTCATTTGAGGATGCTGGTAATATAAGGGATCAAATGGCGTGGAAGGCGGAAGCGCTTGTACGTAAAGCTTGGGATGGTAATGCGGTATCTATTCCACTTGTGTTGCTAGAAACATGGATTTATGGTTGGAAAGGGTATCCCAACATCTCTCCTAGGGTGCTCTGGCAGAACACATTTTGGAGCCCTTATCAGTAGTTGCTAAGGCAGTGGCCTATATGGCTGATGCTTCAGCATAATCGGTTAGAGCCTGTGCTAGGTCAGGGGCTGTTCTAAATTCTGCCAGATGCAGAATTTGGTTAAAGTCCTGTGAGGGAGATGTGTCTTCAAAAGCTAGACTCTGTGGGTTGCCCTTTGAAGGAAAGTTAGTGTTTGAATGAGGTATAAGATCATCAGAGAAGGGTAAACTATTTCCTGAGAAAAGGAGGTTTTGCAGCAAACGTTTTTTTCGTCCGCCACAAGGACAAAAACAAGGTTAATCCCAGACGCCTAGAAGGGGCTAGCCATTTAATAAAGAAAAAGCAAAAGGAGGTTTGCCTTTTAATACTACGGAGCCGTCCAAAGACACCAAATACTACGGAGCCGTATGAATACACCAAATGACTATTTAAAGAAGGTGGGGGGAAGACTCTTTTCCTTTGGGAGAAGATTTTGGAAAGTCAGTATATTTTGCATGTATTAAGAGCAGGTTATCACCTGGAATTTCTTTATGTTCCCCCTCAAACCTTTTTTCTAACCAGATTGCCTAAGGATTGTGTAAAGGCTTTGGCCGTACAGGGTTGTATTCAGATGCTTACATGCCAGAATGTAATAGTTCCAGTGCCAGAAAATCAAAGGTTTATCAAGTCAGTGTTTATGATCAATCTGGATCTATAGGATGCGTATCTTCACATTCTAATTTGTTGGGAGCATCAGAGGTTTCTTCGATTTGTGATACAAACAGCGAGAGGAGTTTCTCACTGGCAATTCAGGGCTCTTCCCTTTGGGCTTTCTGCAGCTCTGAGAATTTTACATTTTTTTTGGCAGAAGCCATGTCTGCTTTGCCTCTTAAGGGTGTCTTCCTGATTCCTTATTTGAACAATATTCTGATCTATGCATCTTCAGAGATGAAGGTGTTAAGGAGTCTGCAAAAGGTCAGGGAGGTATTGGAGAGATTAGGGTGGATTCTGAACATAGAAAAATACTCCTTAATTCATAACCAATCCATAGTTTTCTTGGGCTATCGGATAGATTTGGTGGATCAAAAAAATGTTTTTTACAGAGAAGAAAGTGTACAAGATTTATGTATGCAGGAACACATCCTATATCATGTATTCCATATAGTTGACTCTGTATGAAGTAATACTTGCAGTTGACACTATTGCTAAAGACTACTGTGATAAATAGTTACAGCTTATCGTGCGCTACACATGCACCTCTTCCATTCTGGGAAAGACTGATCCTCACCTCCTGATTGATACAGCACACACACCGCTCAGTAGCTGAGATCCATAACAGGTATATGTGATTAAGTGTGGTTAAAAGTAGGGATGCACCGATACCACTTTTTTAAGGCCGAGTACGAGGACCGATACTTTTTTTACACATGTCCAGAGTCCAGAACACTGTACAGTGTGGCACAGATATATCCAATTCTGTATAACTGACTGTATAATCATATTATTATTACATTTTCTTATAATATAAAGCCAGGTATGCAGAATTGTATATAGCTGTGCCACACTGTGTTCTGGTCTGCAGTCTGGACATGTGCTCATCTATTTTCACCACTAGGGGCATACAAGCCTTAGTTAGCAATATCTACATAGTTATTTTCTTTTTTTAAAATAATATATGCCGGTAAACAGCATTTTTGTGCTCAGCCCCATGAGGTGCAGGTTACTAACCTGCTGTGTCGTACTAACCTGCTGTGTCGTCTTCTCCGTCTGCTTCAGCCACTCCGTGTCACAGCCTAGTCATCTACTCCATTCTGACCTCTTCTCCCGCTGATTGGCCGATTGGATGATGACAGGCTTCCCCACCAGTCACTCCTGACTGGTGAGGAAGCCTGTCAATCATCCAATCGGCCAATCAGTGGGAGAAGAGGTCAGAATGGAGCAGATGACTGAGGACTTGGAGGAGGAGTTCGCGGCCATCTTGCTTCATTGAAGACGCGATGGAGGTCCTGTGTGCGGCGGATTCGGGTCCCTGAAGATGGCGGACGCGGCACAGGTACTCGGTTTTTGTATCGGAGTATTTGCACGAGTACGAGTACTCATGCAAATACTCGGTATCGCCGCCGATACCGATGCTTGTATCGGTGCATCCCTAGTTAAAAGCCTTACAGACCTTACACCTTTGGTCTTTTAATAAAATGACAGTCTTATATGTGTGGTTTGTAGCCTTTGTAATTAAGCTGATGATGTAACTGGAAATTTCCGGAGTGTAAAAATGTTTTTTTCTTTTGATTCTCCAGCTGCTTACTTGCATTATTTAAGAAATCATCTGCATGTATTATCTGAGTTTTTCATTACGCCATGGCGTGCAAGTGGTAGTGTTCATTGTAAGCACATGCTTTCTGATTACTTCAGTGTTTATGCCTCTTACATGAGTAAAATATTGTGTATGACAATGTGTTTATGCTTGCATGTCTATCAGTATACATTTGTGTATGTACATAATGTATACAGCTGTTTGTGTATATAGATATTGGAAATTATTAAAGTAAATACTCTGTTGTCTGACCTCAGATTGCGTCATTGTTACACATGTTAAACCATTACTGTAGTATTGTACATAAAGCCTACCGTTACTGTCTTATAACAGAAAGTGTTTCAAACTTAGAGTTTCTATTTACTCTGCATCAAAATTATATTATTCAGTGATGTACATAGAGAGGCTACCACTAGTAATCACACAATGCTAGTGGTATATTTTATAACATGTCACCCAGTCACAGGATCGGAAAGCACAAACGATTTTGATTGGTGGCTTTTAGATATGTGTAGCAAATATGTGCAGATGTTTTACATTCTATGAAATCAGTCTGAGATAAATAGAGCCAAGATAGAGCTAATGGTTCAGGATTATATGAAATGCATAATATATTAAAACAGACCTATTAAAAAATCTTAGGATCTCTTTAAAAAAACGAATGGCACATTAGTTGGGCGGATATAGGTGTAGCAAAGTGAATACATTTACCTGTCAGGTGTTAAAGCAGATTCTATGGGTTATTTGGATAACTTTAAACTTAAAAAACCTGAGAAAAGAGACACATTTACTTATATTGTAGATGACATGCAGTATGTGTAGTGTACTGAAAAGCAGGTGTGGCTACTATTAGGTGTAGTTAAATAAAGTCTGAACTTAATTGCAATATTTACTGCATACATATGCTGCATTCCTTGTACCCACAAAATACTCCTTAAAGCATCATTTCTCTTCCCCACACTTTAAGTCCGCACATGCTTACTCATCTGGCACTTATGGCCTCTCTCTAGACGTACACAGGACTTTTCTATCCTAGTCTCCCATGCAGGAGGTGCAGGGAGACCAGCCCCATAGACCTTGTGCAGACCAAGCTGTCTGGACCAGACTAAGCTGTCTCCCATTGAAGGGAGTTTGTACATGCCTGGCCAAGCAGTCCACCATAAAAGTGAATAGTGTCCATTAGCCATGCTGTCTGCCAATTTACTTTTATGACAAATGGCTTGAAGGCTACCTAGTCACTTCTATGTAAAGACATGCCCTCAGCACCTGAGACTGTGGGATTCTGTTTAAATGCTCAAACAGTTTTGTAGGATCTTGCACATTTGAGAGGCATGTATAGTATTTTTAAAGTCGCATGATGTAAAGATGTAGCAACCAGCAATGGGGCATTAATGTTTTCAGTAAGTTTTGCAGGCAGATCTGAACAGAAGCACAATGTTAGTCTACGAGCAGCCGGATATAAATGGATGTGCATCAATTTACATCCGTTTTCCCCCTAATTCTGGCCAGTTCCGGAAAACAGTTCCATTTTGGTGGACCTGATCTTAATGCATTGGGGGTAATTTGCTCTAAACAGACACATGTCCGTTTACATGCGATTCCTCATAATTCTAACATGGGTCCGGTAAGTTCAGCTTTTTTCTCTATTACAAGATGGAGGAAAAAACTGGAAGGATGTGGATATCACTACAGTGACATCCATTCCGAACTGCTCCAATTACGTATCCCCTACTGATCAGAACTGACTGGCGCTCATGCGCTAATCAAATATAGCAAAATACTGGGTATTGCAATATGATTTAAATTATCCCAGAGAGATGGATCTAGAAAGTGCTCAGTACATAAATAATGATACAAATATCAATTCAGGATCATGAAAATAATGATCAGAACCATAATATAAAAAAGCTAATATATAATCATAAGCAATTAGCCAATTATATTATTGCATCATGCCAAAATTATATGGATAACATTAGGAAGCCTGATGCATAGATCTAAATAAACAAATTTTATATATTTTGTTGGAAACTGTGGATTCCCAGTGTGGCTTCCAAATTAGAATCACACAATGGTTACAATTTAGACTTATTCTAAAGAAATCTAAATTATTATTATTTCTGGTGCAAATGGTTTAGATTACCACAGTATCCACTTTAAATTTATTGTGCCAGAAAATGGTAACTTGTGGTGAATTATATTCAAGAATGATATGACCATGTATTTTGTGTCTTTTCTAAACGTTTTTATTAATTTACTTGAAGCTGATTCACTTAGCTGTTCATATGATGTTTTCACTTTCCAGCATTGATTTCCAGAAGAATAACCCTGTGCACAAGTTAACAGAAGAAGAATTGCTGGCCTTTACATCAGTAAGTACTTATTTTACGTATCAGGGCTTTTCTTTATTTGTTTGATTTTAATCATTGATGTACAAAAAAAGTGTAAGACTTTATATATGTGAATTGACCATTGCTCAGTGCTTTCTCTCTTGCTCTATTTGCTGTGGGAGTCTGTTGCTGGGTAAAAAGGCTGAGTGTTAACAGAACATTTAAAGGGTACAAGTGCTGCCTGTTTTTGCTTTGTGAAACCCATTCAGGGACATCCTGTTAATCAGTAACTAACATAAGTTTAGTTAGTAGCTTTGACAAGCAGATGCTTTGTTTTATGCTATTGACATGCTGTACAAAGCCCTCCTGGCTGAAACTGTGTTTGTTTGCCTAAAGTAAACGTGCAGGATAAACCTGATGGAACTGTCCCTTTCTTGTCCATGGTTTACTACTGGCAATACAAAATGAGCCTGTCCTTAGAACTACTATATGCTTGTTTATATTACTGTGGAAAGGTCCTGTGTAATTTAGACCATCTCACCACATTACACCACATTACATCACATTATTTCACCAAAATATTTGTCATAGATGATCAGTTTGTGTCTTGTGCATTCCCATACAAATAAGAAAAAGTGCACGTTATAATTCCAAACATCACTTTTACAAAAATTTAAGTAATAGACTAAAATATTTAAATGCCCTTAATTAGACCATGTCATCAAAATTGCAGGTAAAAGTACATAAACATTTGCGAATTTTAAATGCTTGTATGCAGAATATTGAATAAAATAATTCTGCATATAAGCATTTAAAATTCACGCATGTTTATATGCAGAATTCTTTTATTCTAAATTAATTTTTATTTACCTGCATTGTGCTTTTGAAAGTGCTAGAAAATCTGACTACTCCAAGAAAGTCAATTCTGTGGGATAGCCCCTTCCCTGGGTGAAACGGTTAGCCAAAGAGTTGCATGTGTGCCCGTGACCTGTGATTTAAAAAAAAAAAAAAAGACACATGGGGGGTTGCTTCAGGGCAACCTGCTTGCGACACCACTGGCAGGAAGTGTATTGAGTGCTGGAGAGACAGCGGGTGTTGCTAAAAAAAGCATCACGTGCTGGCTTAGGGGGCCATCTCAGGGATTTGGATGCCTACACACAGAAAGCTTTTACATGTAAAAACACGAATAAAATATCTTAATGTTTAGATAAACTAATGGGGAGATTAAAGAAACATAGTAACAGACTACTTCTATCCAGTTAAGCAGCAACAATTTAGTAGGCCACAGAAACAGACTAGAAATAAATTAAGCTTACTTACATTTAAAACAGAAAGTCCAGAACCTCCATCAGCTTGGAAATGGCAGAAACCACTGGGACCCTGTTACACCCATCTAAAGTCCAGATCGGTCTTTTCAATGTGGTTCTACTGAAGAGTTGAGTTCAAAAAGCCAACTTCATACAAAAACTCAAGGACTAATGTGCAGAAAATGGCTGTAGATGGTGGCCTAGATTGACAAGTCTGAATCTAAAATATTTGTCTGTTAAAGTGTAAGTAAGGTGTTGAAATAAAAAATGAGTCCTAGAGCTTTTAGCCATAATAATAATTAAAAAAAAGCATGTTCACACATTATAGCAGACTTACCTGTCAAACCGATCCCCTTCAGAGCTGCACTTCTCTCTTGCCATGGCGCGGCCAACTTCACCCTGATCTTCCAGGATTCGAGTCTTTGGCCGCTTGGTTTACCGGCCTCTGATGATCTAACTCGTGCATGTGCATGCTGGGTCTGTACACTGAGCTCCTCATGTGCGGCTCAGTGTACAGAAAAAAAAATTGCTGAATGGCCGCACAAAAGTTTTATGGCAGAAGAGACTAAAGCCAGGTATACACACTTGGAATTTTGGCTGGTTCTTGATGAACCAGCTGAAATTGGATCCGTGAGTGCCACTGTGGCACCCTTCAGTCCGGCATCTCTTGATCAGCTGAAAGGAGCCTGTTGGAAAATTCTTGGCTGAACAGAGATACAACCAATCAGTTACTATTCCATTCGGGTATTCTGACAGCGGATGGCTGTCAGAATATAAATGATTCATCCATCAATGCTCGTAAGCATTGACAGAGGAATCTGTTCTATTTTAAAAATAGAAACGTGCATGCCCGGCTTTACACAAGCCTTACTAAAGCCTGCCAATCAGCATTTTATTTTTTTAACAATTCCACTTTCACTTTAACCAAAGGCTTTTTTTGGTCTGCCGAAGTGCTAGAAAATGATGTACAGATGAATGTCTGCAGGCAACAGTGAAACATGATGGAGTTTCCCTGCGAGTTGGTGATTAGGTCAAAACTGATGGCTTTCTTACTGCTAAGTAGTACAGGCAGATTATTATCCATAATGCAGAACCATTGGGGAGATGTCTGATTGTGCCATCTTCATTCACAATAACACCCAATACATAGACAAAAAAAAGACTCGCGCACACACACACACACACACACACACACCCTCTCCAATGTCACCGGTCACACTTACACACTATCCACCAAGAAATACTTGACTCACCTCCCCAGCAACACCTACACTTCTTCATACTGTATCATGATCCACATCTTCACCCTCCCAGCTCTATAGCAATCTCATCTACATTTCCTGAAACAACTTGCTACTGAATTGTCCAGGATGACCATTTTCTGATGATTCATCTGTATTTTTTAGTGCAAGGGATAAATGTGATACCATCATTAACATAGCCTACCTTATTTTCATAGAGAAGAGTAAGTAGATCAATTGCTAACAGTGTTTATTTCAAAGGGCTGAAAACCAAATAATTCTCAGATTTGACTGTTTACTGACCTGAAGGTAACATGAATGTGAAAATAGCAATCAGATTTTCAAGTGTGCCTGCATTTTTTTTTATATATACTTTTTGACAGTGGGGTTATCGCTGTGTTTTTAAAAGAAATAAATCAGCTAATTTTCTTGTCATAGCATGGTATAATTGCAGTATGTATTTTTTCCTTCATTGTACACATGAAAAAAACTTGCCTGTTATGGCAGGACATTTTTCTTTCTTTCTCCTATAACACTCAAAAGTACAGGAGAAAGCCCTTTAGAAAACATTAACTATAAAAGGGAGTTAATGTTAACCTGGTTTTGTAAGGCCAATAGGCTCAGCTGGTTTATGTTGGTACCTCCATAGGCAACTCCTTACTATAGCTTGTTTTCTTCAGTGATGTGAATTGATTTCAGTGATTTCGTCTTTCCAGGAAACTGAATGAATCATTATGAAAATAACCTGTGTTTTTACAGAGACTCCCTGCCTTTTAGTTCCACAGTACACTTTGTATCATTACACCTAACTGCGTAGTTTTCCGGCAGGTCAGCCAAGTCTATCCAAGAATCACAGCCATTTTAATTTCCCTTTATTGTTCGTGATGTGTACTTTTTCCCCCTGGTACAGGTGCTTTGTTTCAGTTTTCACTTAGTGGATGTTTTTGGTGTCAGGCAACACATTAATGCTGATTATTTTATGCTCTTGTTTCAAATAAACATTTTGTCATACATGTTCCAACTGTAGTGAGGCCAAAAAAAGATATGGAATGTAGTGCAACATTTGCTAAGAGCATGGAGCTAGCTCCATAGAATCATTTGCACAATAAACAGGGTAAAGACACTCAAATTGCTTACTTCCCATACAGTGCTAACTAATTTTTTAAGGATACTATCACAATCAAAAAGTATATCCTTTTAATTTGTTACCCTGAAGGATATTTCCACTAAAAATAATATGCTAAAAGTATGCCCTGCCTTTTCATCTGTCTTTTAAAATAATAATAATAACAAAATAAATCATTCTTTGTGAAAAGAACCTTGGCCTGCTTACTCCTTGCTGCTGCTTCAGTGCAGCATTTACAGAACTCCAGGCTATTGAAGCTGAACTCTAGTCATGTTCAATGCTGGCCATTGTCAGGTGGAAACGAGTGACCATGCCTAGTCTGTGGCAGCAGCAGACACTAGTAGAACATGGAACTGGTTTGAGATTTTGCCAAGTTGCTGTTGATCCCCCATACATCCAATGCCTAGACTGTTCCAAGTCCTCCCCTCTGACTATGCATAAATGTATATGCAATATTTACTGTACTGCAATGTTGCTTTAGGACATTTAAAGAGTATTTCCACTTTTACAATCAAATTTGAGAAAACCCCTCTTGTTATGTGATGTGTTCCTATTCACACAACATACTAAAAAAATATATATATATTCTTTAAAAATATTTCTTTCTTTCTAGATTTTTTGTTGCAGTAGGCAGCATGGCTAAGCCATCTCCACACTCCCATGGCATACTTTCATCTCAGCATGGCATAGCTCAGTATGAAGAAAAAGCTTTTTATGGAAGAAGAGACTTACACAGTCTTTTCTGTCCTATAAAGTCTGCCAATCTCAATTTTTTTAAACTACTTTACTACCACTTTAATAAGCCTTGGTCTCATCTCTTTGATCAGCAACCAATTAGCATGGTTTTCAATCGTGATCACGTGGGACTTGTTTACAGCCAAAACTGATGGACGCAGCTATCACTCACTGTGCAAAAGAAATGAAAAATGTAATACATGAAAAAGGATTGCCTGAGTACCAAGGATATCAATAGAAACAGAACAACAGTCTTGCTTAGTCACAGCCATCTCATAAGGGATGAATCACTGCTCTGAATTAACTTTTATGTGCAGATTTCAGCTTAAGCTATTTAACTGTGTAAGTAACAGCTGAGGTGGTAAGCAGACTGAGGAAAACAGCTAAAAAGGAGCCAAGAACGTTATCTGCTGGCTAGACAGAAGATTGTATAATATTCATATGCAATATTTTATATTTACCTGTCTTAAAAAATACAAAAATTTACTTTTTCAGTCCTAACCAGTGTATAAAAAAAATAAAAAACACTACACATTCATTTTTATAAGCATTACATGAATGTCTTATGAAATTATGTGCTTATCTGCCCTGATAGATACATTTGACACAACACAAAGTCTGTAGTTTTGTGCT